TTAAAAAATAATAATTTAATAATCAATGATAAATAATATAATATTATTAAGTAGGAAGAATTTTAAAAAAATGGGGGAAAATTTCTGCATCAAAAATGGATTAGATTGAAATGTCCTACTACACCAAAAACAACCAGGGGGATAATGTCCATTTATTAAAAAAACATCTCTCACAGCTCAATAATATGCAWTTTTTTACATTTATACTCTTTGAAAGTCATAGGGGTGTATAAAAATGTAATATTTGCACAGTACTAAAGTTATTTTTTTTTTGAAAGTTGATACAACATTATTATACAATTATTTGAAAGATTTTAAGAATCTAACACATTTTAAATAACAAAAATTTAATTAATTTTTTTTGTATTTTTTATTAGGTCGTGTTCATTCTGGTATGAATGTTGTCAAAAGAATGGGCATGGTAGAAACGGATAAAAATGATCGACCTGTGGATGATGTAAAAATATTAAGAGGTGGAATAAACATGTAGTAACATAAAAATATATGTGAACCCTGACTAAAAAATTTAAATGTATTCAACAATTACAAATTATAATTAAATAACATATATTTTATGTCTTGCTATAAAAATGGCAAACATGATAAAATGTGTATGTATTTTTAATGTATTTCAAGCAATCTGTGAGCATTAAACCAAAATGTGTTTTAATAATTTCGGTTTTTTTTTACCTTGTTTGGTTTGGAGTCCAGTTTTGAGTGTTTTGATTTTTGATAAAAAGTTATATAAATTATGGTTCTCGTTGACCAGTAATAGATTTGACGACTTGTAAGTTATACACAACTTAAGCTTTAGCAATTAAACATTTTTTCAATTTGTTTACCTTTTTGTTTGAATGAAAATAGTCACAAATTATAAATATTGGTATCTACTAGTACTAGACAGTATTTTATTATAATTTAATATTTATCCACTTTTAACTATATTTAATGTGTTTTTATTAAAATGTTTGGGTATTATTAGTAAATTATTAACAGTCTTTAAGTTTTTTTTAAAGATAATCTCCTACAACCATTCAGTTAAATCTATGTATAACTTTTATAAAAATAATAGTACTCATTTTTCATGAATTGTACTCATTATATTATCTTATTAATATTTCTTATATGGMTATGCTCGATTAAAATTGGATGCTATTACATTGGTAACCAACATTATGACAGAAAACCAGAAATGAATAAATTTAAAAAAAATTTAACCAGTTGACTAGAAGGGTAAAATGGGAACTAGATAACTTAAGAGGACATAACACTAAGTCTTGCATTTGCTATCTCCGTTTACTTGTATAACATAACAAATGTAAGCTCAGTATATTACGTTTAGCTTCGTTGGTTTTAAAATTAGAATGAATTGACGCTTGTGAAACTTGATAGTAAGAATGAGAGTTTTTACAACAGTTCAGTTTTTAAATGAGTTATGAGCATATTTAGTTTATACTATTTTATATAAGAAAACTCACATACAAATTATGATTAAGTTATTACTATCAAGTTTCATGAGAGGTTAATTAATAAATAATTGATATGATAAATACAAGGTGATTGTTTTATCAAAGAACACTCATTATTTAAAAAAAAGTATTTACTTTTTTCAAAATATATTTTTACATAGTTTCAAGTTATTAAAAAACCAACGTTTTTATTAAAAAATTATATTTTTTATCCTTATCATTTTTTAAGTTTTTTACTTTATTGAATGACAACATAGAGTTTTAATTTCATATTCCAAAGCAGAATATTTTTCTAAGTATTTTAATTCCAAAAAATCGAATTTAGGACGAGTAGTTTATGAGTTATAAGTATTTAAATTTAAAGTTTAAGCAGGCGGAGTAATGGACAATCATTTTGCGGGGTAATCCCGTACCACTTCACTCTGACAATCTAAACTTTAAATACTTATTACTCATAAACTACTTGTCCTAAATTCGATTTGTATGAATCAAAATACTTAAAAAATATTCTGCTTTGGAATATGAAATTAAAACTCTATGTTGTCATTCAAAAAAGTAAAAAACTTAAAAAAATGATAAGGATAAAAAATATTTAAAAATATAATTTTTTAATAATAACGTTGGTTTTTTAAGAATTTGAAACAATGTA